CAATATACCTAACCATAGCTCAAACTAATACATGGCAACTAAAATAGGACTAGCTGCATATGAAATGTATTGCTAATAAAAAAAAGAATATCTTTTGGAGGCTACGACACAAAGCATTGCCTCTTAGATATAGGCTACGATATATGACACTGGTAGAGAATAGTAATTGTCTAGCTTGTCCAGAAGAGGTACAAACTCTGGAATACTTCAGTTTGAATTGTAAAATTAGTCAGCATATTTGGAAAATAGTCTACAATCATTTTAGAGAAATAAACAAAAGTGATGTTCTTCGATCAATAGAAGATATTTTTACAGGTAGAAATATTAACTCAGTACAGAAACAGAAAGCAGTAGTCTGACTAAATATCAATATAATATATAAAAAATGGCACTGGTATACACAAATCAAATGAGGTTAAAAACAGATACCAGGCCCAATCCTTGCTTATATAGTCAAAAGCAGAGTTACTAAGGAGTTAGAAGTTTTAAAAGGGTTAAAAGGCAATGGTAGAAAAGAAAGAGACAAACTGCTCCAGTTTCTAGTAATAGAAAATACAGCTCCTACACATATAAATATTTCTATTATATAACATTGTTAAAATAAAATAAAATAAAATAAAGTATGTCTTATAGCAGTTAAAAAAGAAAAAAAAAAATTAAGCAGCATAATATTATACGAGTATAAGTTTATTAACTTAGTGAAGTATAGTTGAAATTATTAGCAAATTTATGAGTCAAAGGAAGGTTTGAAATAATTTATTGAAGACAGAATGTTTTTTAGCAGTGTGATATCTTTATTAAAGAGCAGAAATACTCTGCTTATATAGACTTTACAACAATAGAATTGTGTATAAGTCTTATATGTCTTTTTGCACTTATAGCTCTTAAAAGAGATATAAGACTTATTGCTCTTTTAATACTTATAACTCCTATTGCTCCTATAAGTCTTATAGTACTTTTAAGACTTATAACTCTTATCATTCCTATAAGTCTTATAATACTTTTAAGACTTATAACTCCTATCACTCCTATAAGTCTTATAGGAGCTATAAGATTAATAGCTCCTATAAGCACAGGATCTCTAAAAAAGTCAAGAATTGACTTAGTTATAAAATTGTACTACAACTTGTCCAAATGACTTCAGGCAAAATCTGGTCTAGTTACTTTTTCTAGTTCATATTCTCCTACACTTAATATGAGTTTCACAAACATCAAATCTTAACATCAATAGGCATTGATTATCTCTTGTCTGGTTAGGTTCATTTATATCTTCAAGAATTTTTGGCATCTATAGTATCTCTTTTCTAGATGCAGTATTTATTACTCGCTAATACCAGGCTTTATACATAGCTTATAAGTTCCTCAAGGCCAATTCTTAACTACTTCTCTTGAACCAGAATCTTTGATAATTAGATTATAGGTCTTTCATCATGAGGTGAGTATTTTAGGTCTTAATTTCCATCACAATTTAGATATTCACAGTAAATCTTTCAAGATTTCCTTTAGATAGGGTACTAGCTTATTCTATCTCATTATAACTATCTGTCTTTGTGTTTAAATCTGCAATCTTTATCAAATTTTGAATTTCTTTCATATTAGATATAGGCCTTTCAGGTAAAGTATATATATATATTTTTTTTTTTTTTTGTATTGAAGACCTTAATATTAATATTTCTTTTAGTCTTTTGTATTCAATAGGGGATTTTAATCAATGATTCTCCTCTAGGATCAAAAATCCTAAGTCTGGTATAGTACAGAAGTAGATATCAGTAGCTTCTCTTTAGGTAGTTTTTACTTAGTTTTTACTTAGTTTTTTTCAATTACTTCTAATCATAATCTCTTTTTGTCTTTAGGTCCATTGTTAGTGTAGTTCAAATCACTACTTCTCTTCTGAAGTTTCTCTTTTTTTCTTTTTATAATCAATCCTATTTACACCTAATTTTTTTGGCTTATAACTCTTTTTGCTTTTAGGTTTACTTTTATTCACGAGGTTATTGTTTTTGACCTTAAACCCAAATACAGCAGGTCTTTTTAGCAATTCTGCTTTGATACTATTTTCAGATTTAGGTAAGTATTAT